ATGTATATATAATGTATATGGATATGTATATATATATATTCTCTATACATAATGTTTTATGCAGCGTGCGTGACCACTTGGACATACGATACTGCGCATACAGGTATCTGAGATAGTCGTTTGCGCGTTCTCAATTGGACTGGTGTAACTTCTAGATGGTACAATAATACATTTATGCTCATACTTTAAAAATCTCGCATCATTTCAAAATGCAACTGTAATTGCCAGTGTGATACTAATAAGTGTACGAAAATGGTGTAGGTGGGTTATTTGGACACGGTTCGGCGTGTGGCTGAATCTGTTCCGCTGCTGTTCGGTGTCGTTGAGTCTGGGCGAGATGCGTGTTTCCAGTTCACGTACGGTCTCGGATATAAAGCATTGTGTCAGGCAGTGGATAACATTATGGAAGCATACTTCTACAAGATGAATGTGCTGTTGACATCGCTCCGCAGCAAATGTAATCTCGATAGTACAGGTGAGTGTTAGTGTCTCTCACTGGTGCGCGCTTATAAAACTCGCTGGTGCGGTATCCGTTTATGTTGACCGTAGCTTATTGTTCGATCATCGTGGATAGCATATATGCCACCCACCTTAGAGCAGGTATATAAATAGAAAGCTACTATGACAGGTTATACTTCTTGCGAAACTGCCTAGTGCATATTTTTACGGTATGCTTAGCCAATGATGCAGAATGCGCATACTAGCACTGGCACTCTTTCACATTCGAGAATAGTGCGCCACCCGTCTGAAGAACACATAGTAAGACATTGCAGATGAAAGTTTTATCACACGCCCAGTACTCGCTTACCAATATATGCAGTCTTTTGTGTCTCCACTGACTGGCTGTGTGTGCTTCACTATCCATCACAGCCAATTCAAACGTCACAAACTCCGCAGACTCTGCCACACCCAAATCTACAGACAGCGAGACCGACTACCTGCCCTATGGTCAACAGGACTGGTCCCACTTTCAAGGTGAGATGCTTACGATATCCAAAACATATATGTGTACTTCTGGAATTGACTATGAGTGAGTATGCATACATAGGTATTAAGAAGCAATCTTAACATCATTTTGACAAAACATCGAGATAAAAAAATACGCATTGTAAGGGCGTTGTCTGACCACAGGATGTTCTATCTACGCACACAGGTGCACTCATGCTGCTTCAGGCGTGTGGCGACATGATCCACAGATGTCACAAACTGAAGTCAGTCATCATGTCGCAGTCTCTGCCGTTTGCGGTCTCTATCTTTGAAGATGAATTGGAGCAGCACAACAACCGGAGCCATCGCACACCAACGCCTGACTCCACTCTGGACTCAGCTGAATGCGAAGGTATGGCTATGCACGGTGGCGACCTGCCAATGCATGGCATTGCTATCGACCGCAGTTTGAGATTGATTTGTGTCCAGCTGTTTGTGTTCGCCAGTACCTGAGTATGGCGCATGTAATACGCATAGCTCTCATTCTCCACTCTATCTCCATTTCTATCTATCTATCCAAGCTAGACGGTCCGATTACATAAGTTCGATTCAATGTGCAACATAATTCCAAACAGTCTATATTATATTTTTATGTTTTTATCAACACACATACGTGCAGTCTACTTCAGGGTGGGTAATGTGCTTATTTTGTCCACGATGCATTTTCATCTATGTAGGGGTGTTCATCAATATCATATGCATATCTCGAGATATATACTGCACTCTTATCGCAGCTCTGAGACATCCATCTTGTATGTATGCATATGCACAAAACGGTACTGAGTGATTATGTAGTACATATGTGTCGTTGTATATGACAACGAACTGCAATACGAAATATTCAATGTCACCCTCTTCTATCCGATAGTTATAAAAAGTTCGTCGTAGTTATGTATTCCTATTTTTATTATTAAAATAATTAAACATGGCATGTGATCTTCTGCCGTGCTGTTTTGTAAATCCTATTTGGGCTTATCTATTGTACATGCGCTCAACTTCTACCTCTGCAACACTGACTGCAAATCAATTTCTAACCTATTCTCCCACTTATGTCGACAGAATTCGATCTCACGGCTCCCTACAACTATCTGGCGGGCAACCCCACACAATTTAATGCAGGTATGGGAGAGGTGTCTGAATACTTGTTCACTATTGAAACTATACAGCATGATAGAGAATTGCGGATACACCTTTTTCGCTGTTGTGGAAGGACAGAAAAATTGTCTATCTGCTTGTTGCTGTCTGTTCATATGTTTTTGGCACGCGTCAGGGTTTCAAGGTTTAGGTCTGTTGTTCGGAAGAACGGTAATTAAGACACATTCATCAGTTGCAAATCTCCGAAACAATAGCTGTATAACCTAAGATACACACTTGGTGTTAATTTTTAATCGTTTTAATGATAAAATGGATTTTATCTGTCTATAGTGGTAATCTATACTTTCTTCTTGTCGAGAGGCATTATCGTTTGAAATTTGAGATGGAAGTTCTGACATTTCTATTCATCTAACATCTTGTCGTCTCCTTTCTTGTGCATCAACATAGCCCTTGCCGACTCCAAAGCCATCTTACAGTATTACCGATCCACACACACAACCGGAGGCTCACCAACTGATGGTGCCAAGCACAACCTGCTAGCCTCAACTGAGAAGCTGGTCAATGGCTTTAACGACGCTGTACACACGCTCGCATTCGACATCATCTTCGTGCACGTAGAACGAATGTTGGCCGCTGTGCCAAACCTCACATCGTGGACGTCAAAGCCAAATAAGTCAGGTGAGTCCTGTAGCAAATAACACTCACATCGGGTTGCTGATGCAATACACAGAAGATTTATGTACGGAACGTCCTGTAGAAATTTCTTCAACAGCGCTTTCGATTCCAGCGACATAGCAGTGCAGTAATGACGTATATATAACTATACCCTCGTATACGACAATATCATCGGCTCATATATCGACTGTCTGCTTAAACAGGTGCTGGCTTCAGCCTGATGCAACAGAACTATATCACACACGTGGGGCAGCATATGCTTACCCTGCCGCAGCAACTAGAGCTGTTTAACGAGTGTGTGGACGATGTCACGGCGAATGAGAATCTGACGGCTGCGCTTGTTTCCGGGTCACTTCCGAAGTACTACACATCGCCCGTGGAGGTGGTGAAAGACACAGAGATGGCCGATTTGAACACTGATGCGAACGCTGAGGAAACGTATGTATTGGCGTGGATGCATGATATTCTGTTGTTGCATGTTCCTTGTGTGTGAGACCACTTATTGAGTTGGCTGTGAAATTCATTGGTTGTTGACAAATATGGTGTGAATCTGACGTGCCGGTGTGTGATGTTGATCTCGTGTTCCCATCCATCCTGAAACGATATCAACTGTGTGAATGGTATCTGTAATAGTTTTCCTTCGGTTGTTTTGTGCACGTGTCTATCTGGCTATTTCGTGCAGGCGTATGCTTGATTAAGGACTTATCACCGTTGATGCCTGGCGGGGTACGTTGTGTGGTTAGTTACGCTGTTGCCCGTGCTTCAATTCGTGTAGTGCTCTTGAAAACGACCATGTAATGGCCTTCAAGTGAATACAGCAGCACACACACCTTTAATTTTGCATATCACTATTCAACTATACCATTTCGGATTGTTTCGTCAGCTTTAGTCTTCCGTGTATTACCTGGCTTGACAAGTATCTCCAGGCATCGCTCGCTTACTTCCACATGGGTGCCTACCGGAGTGGCCAGATATCTATCAATATTCACTGGTACTAAAATGTGGCTATCATTAGATGCATTATCTGATGTATTCTCTGATGTATTAAATGCATCTAATGCATACTTCACAGGGATGACAATATCTACGCACACAAATGGTTGGAGGCGGTGGCTCAGGCCACAATGAAGCGCTACTGTGACCGCATCCTCCAGATCGGCTCACTGTCCAACAGTGGATGTTTGCAATTGTCTAAAGATATAGGTGTGTGGATCTAAAGTTATTGGTGTGGGCTTGTCATGAGGATTTAGTGGTCTATAGCTGTCTAAGAGTATATGTATGAGAATAGCACAAGCATGGGGTTTCTTGCAGTTGTGTCTGCGATTGCGTTGCGACATTTTCAACGAATATCAGCCAATGGTGCTGGATTGGCATGCCCGAGAGTAGTTAGTTGTAAGGGCTGTCAGATCAAATCGGATTTTGCTGGACTGAATCGTGATTTGCACAACATTTCATCTATACTGAGATTGAACCTAATCCCAATGAAGCCGTATTTCATATTCCACCTGACCATTCTGAGATATCGTGGATAGAGCACAGCAGATGTCTCAAGGTACAAACAGTCCCACACTAGAGTACGTGGGTACTCTCACATACTGGGCTTCGCTTATGCCGCGTCTCTACACCACTAATCATCATTGTTCTATAGTGCACTGAGTGCATTGTAAAATTTAAAACCTATATTGCCTTTATCCATCAGCCTTAGCGCAACCCACCACCTTACACCGAACCATTTGACTGGGGCATTTACTTTGGGCAGCTGACTATAAAAAAAGCCTCCGTAATTAACGATACTCACATCATACCGTCGCGCGCGGAAAGCTCATGACGGACTTCACAAAGAATGTGCTATGCACACTCTATTCGTATAGCTATCACATATGAACTGGCGGTTCGTGAAAGTCCTTTGAAAATGTTAATGTCGAGATTGGCCATTTATACACTCGTGGTCGCTGTGGTTTGAAGTAAAACTTGAAGTACAAATATTAACGAAAGGCATACACTAAATTGCTCTATTGTCACCAATCTTTACAATGCTAGAATACCTTACCAATGTCCTGAATGTTCTCGATGTGGATGTTACGGTGGAGCTGGCGCACATCAAAGCCGTTATGGATGCCCCGGAAGCAGAGTAAGTGTTCTGCTCACTACTTTGAGAATAGCACAGAGCTGCTATTAATCACACTGGTTTGAAAAGTGATTGTTTGTGCGGAGTTGACTGTTTTCTGTTGTTTAGTTTCTATGCCAATTCTCGTAACATCTATCGTATCCGGTTTGGGCGTAGTCTGTGATACCGCGATACTCAAGCGGGTTTACCTAAATTATTGAGGCTTGGCACAATTCATTCAATTTTCAATCTGAATATGTCACACAAAAGATCGTACATGTACATACGTGTGCCTGGCGACAAATCAGCACAAGAATGCGCATATTCGCAAATTATTTTTTTTCGAGGCTATTTATATCATGTATACACGCATATGGTAATATGAACACAAATCTAGAGTAAACAAATATTAACGGTCGTATCAGCACTATTTGTTGTGTCTTAAAAGCTCGATGAATGCTGCCACCAAATTCTTCATTACTGGTTTTTGTCAAAATCTTCTGATTTAAGTATAAATCTTGTTGCAGACGAAATGCACTGATCGGGTCTTATGCCGAATATGAAAGTGTGCGAAACATCAACGAGTTGATTCGCGATATACTAAATTCAAACAATAAATGAATGATGGCTATTTGACATGTATAAATTAGTTATTAGAAAATGATCGCACCTTGAACGAGTGGGATGGTGACTTCCTTCTCCGTAGGGCACGACGCCTGTCAATCATCGACTAACTAATTTATACGTGTCAAATAGAGCACGTTGCCAATAACATATTCATCTGTTGAATGAAACGTGTAATATAGATAGCGTTAATCGTCTATATATACAATATCACTGACGCTGAAATTAGTCGCAATGAGCAAATAAGTTATTTTCAGAATAACGTAATTCTACTTATATACGATTGATTTACGGTGTGCAACTCGATTGGGTTGCCTTGATTGGGTTACCTTGATTGGGTTGCCTTGATTGGGTTACCTTGATTGGGTTGCCTTGATTGGGTTACCTTGATTGGGTTGCCTTGATTGAGTTGCTGGGTTGTCTTTCTGTCATTTGATCATCATTTATCATTACAGCTCGATATTCTGCTTCATTTCTGACTTGTGGATGTATTGCGATAAATATTATACATCAGTATTCGAACGATTTGCAAATAAGATCGCCAAAAACACTGTTATGACATGAATTGTTCGGAGTTCTCGCGAAATCTGATGCTCATTAAGTGAACCAATATTGAGGTACCTGGAAGAATGTTCGCTTTGCAACGTAGAAGACTTCACTATATTTGCATAATTGTATTCGATCAGCTGCCGAGAATACTATTAAATACTTATGACGACGATTGCCATTGCTATATAATCCATTGCTTGCTTACAATTGATATTTTAAATGATATTGAATTTAGAAGGCATTAAGAACACTCGGCGTGGAAATTCTGAATCTATGAACTGGTGGTGTCCATATGTAACCAAACAAGATAAAATTATATCGGTATGATGTCTGTTTCATCGATACAATGAGAATTGTAGAACAGGAATTGATTGTACATCACAGACAGGAATCTAGGCGATCATGATGTTTGAATTGAACGACTTTTCAAATATTGAACCTGATATCTGATTCTCGGCCGTATCCAAAGCACAGGAGTTCAAATCTGCCATAAGTTTTCTAATGTCCCATAGATGATTGGAGGTAGAATCTTAAAGCTAGATATGACCAAATCTCAGACAGGACCAACATTTGGTCGGAAGTAAATTTATGATATCGACCATCTTAAACTAAGCGGAGAAAATGTTTACTTACTTTTATACTCTGGATTCTTATTATATTCTACTTAATGTACTTTAGTATTATCAGATATCACCATTTCATCCAAAGCTCGACCCCTGCCTATGACCAAGAGATACATCAGGTCTCAACAGAGAAACCGGAAGGGAGCACTCCCATTTGAAGAACCAACCCCGGCGCGGAACACAGTAAAGTATGTTCTCTCTTTTTGCCAATCGCTGTATAATCGTATCAGGAATTACATGAACGAGCAGTGCGGACCACAGTGGTAGGCACGACAAACAGTTTCTGTAAATGTATTTTGCTCTCGATATCAGAAAATGACATTCAAAAGAAAGAAAAATCTAACGCGGACAACGGCGCATGATGGGAATAAAGTGACAAATTGTGATGTATATATATAATATACGCAACATAGACCACGAGACGTAGATTAGTAAGATACGAACGAGAGAAGGGATTAAAAAAATCACAATCCTACATACACTGCATCATTTTTAAACGTGTACCTTTGAAAATAACAAACAGTTGTAAAGTAAAACATGAACGGGACCTAATCCAGTTCGAACCACATTAATGGCACATGTTCAGCGCAAAACACAGGAAAATTCGTCAAAGTGAGTTCTCACGTTTGTATGCTGGAAGCATTATCAGATGATTATGTTCACAAATTTTAGCACACATTCTGGAGCAGGACATTCAATAGGTATATACAGGTGAGAAAACATTTTGTGCATTAGAGAAATACAATCAATAATCAGGTAAAAAATATGGAGAATAGAAATGTGAAATCTTGTTAGGAAACATATCTCTTCCAAGACCAAGCTATATTGTACTTTAGTTTCAAACTTATAATAAACAAAGAGTTACAAACTAAGTGTCCATGTGTTCTCGAAAGTACATGTGTATTTTGAATGAGGCCTACAACCGGAAATAAAATAATAGTGGACCCCATCGGTTCGTTTTCTAAGAGGAAAGTATATCAAAAGTCACGGAAAATATCGTGCAAGCCTCTTCCAAGAATCTTGATAAGAAGATCCGTGTGATTTCCGTGAGTATAGATGCACATACCCTGTTGCGCGCAATCGCTTATGTAGTGATTACGATATGTCTATATGTTTCAACCTCTTGGGTGACCCTATACCGTGTGTAGCCTTGATAGAACTTTGAGGTATCGTGAGCTTGTATCTGAAAGCATACATAACAGTAAAAACAAGGGAGATATACTCAGTTTTGCAGAGCTGACTTACGCAGTTTTCTGCTTACAAGAACTCCAATAAATCGTTATATAGTTGAAAATATTTGTGTATCAGTGTCAGACATCCTGGTTAGGGGGCAGAATGCCCAACACGTTTACATGATACCGACTCGCGCCCTGATAGTGCCAACCCGAAGGATACCAAGGAAGCTCTAATATTTATCTTCAAACTCAAGTAAATTGAACGATTTAGGATGAGCAGTACACACGGAGTATGTTTGATTGGAAGGTCAGTAGCATGGAACGTCTCAAGTAGTCGGTGTATGTGTGTATTACGTTGTACAACGCGGAATTCGACTACATGGGAGAAAGTATCGAGTGTAGCCATATCATAGGGTTCCGATAGCTTATTTATCAAGCACTGGGCATCAGTAGTATGCGGATCACTGACAGGCAGCATTTTATCAACGTAGGTGAAGAGTACAATGTTACGATTGTCATGAACCCCAACACTTTCAGCCGCCACAGATGGAGAAGATCCTTCACTATGTAGCATATCAGCGTTATCTTGACTCCACAGACGGCCAGCTTGTTCAATGTAGAAAAAAGTACGGTCGAGGCGCATCACAGTTCTATCAGGATAGCTTAACCGAACTTTTTTGGGTAGCGTCAAGAATACAACAACGTCCAGTCTATATATAAAACACATTTCTATTAAAGAATAGTCTTATAACAGCAGCAAAGGCAGCTGTTTATACGGGGGTGTATGTTTCCGTTTAACTATCCCATAGTTCTTGCTCATTTTAACGACCGGCAATACGTGCCTCATAGTGTGTGGGTTTGCAATTTCAACACATATAGGGGAAGAAACATAACGACTGCGTATAAGTATAGCTATAGATGGAACGGATGAAAGAGGCACACGGTCGGTCAGGCCAATACGCATATGATTGGCAAGCTCGATGTCAATTTTAGCAGACCATTGGGACCACTTGGCAGTTTTCTTGACGGCGGCAATTGATTTGGGAACGGGCGGATCGAATAAGGAGGATAACTTAAAAAGGACGGGCTCAGGTATAAAGCGAAAAATCGATGCAGAGATGTCGTGAGTGCAAAGATAACAACCAGTGGCTTCTGCTGAGTCCAAAATAGTAGTGTTCAATGGAGGTGTTATTCATAAGAGAATGATCACGAGTAGCGAACTGTAATCATGTTGATGAAGGGAATCAGTAGAGGGGTAGTTAATAGTACTGTGGAATATGAGTAAGAGATAAAGCATAGAACGTACCATTAGAAGCGTTGGAAGAATAGACTGAGAAAAAGGAATGCTGAACGTCGGAATCAGAGTGGCGGGAGTGAAATGCATGGCGGACCGAAGAAGGGGTGTTAAAGGCATAGCTGTGGGTCGACAAGAGAAAGAATAAGACTGTGGGTATACCTCCGAGCACTACTCAGAATAACTGTCGTAGTCGAATCAAATTGGCAGTACATGAAACCTCCTCCCCCCTAGTCTAGCTTTCAAGAAATCATCTTATCCAGAAACGAGATTTTATCTAGAGCAGATATACAAACAGGACTGATAGGGATAGTAATATTTATTTCAAAAATGGCAAGTATGTATGATACAATATGGGAAGAAGTGGTCAGTAAATTCCCGTTTGAAGCTTGGGCCAAGTGAGTCGACAATGGAAGATATGTGCTGAGTCAATTCGGGCCGGTGTTGACAAAACACTGTTACTATCGAATGTTCCATATATTCGCTTACTGACCTACTAAAGTAGAGTACCCACCTCTGTGGTACGCTAGTATTATTTATTTCAATTTGGGTTAAAAAAATTATACCCAAATGTATTTCAAGCTTCCTATTTTCGTTAGAGAGAGCGATAGAAAAAAGTCTCGGCAAATGGGAGTCTGCGATTTGAGGATTTTCTCGGCCAGAATCGAACTGACGACCCTCACGGTGTAAACATGATGTGATAACCCCTACACCACGAGAAGATGACATTATGTTTCCTCTTTGTATACTGAGGTTCTAATAGATAAGCGTTAAATATTGTACCTTTTCTTTCCGTTCCCATTTTACCCCGGGGTAAAATATTCCGCAAATCCTTTTTTTCTCTCGTTCAGACGGTATATATATAAGTGATCTTTCACATATTGTTTGACATAGAGCCGTACTAACTTCCAATTTCCGCACCATAGTTCAGTATATTTTAAAATATTACTACGACAAACTCTCAAACGCTCCTTGTTAAACTTGCTAGTACGCGTTCGCGGATATACTTGGAGTATTTCGAAGTGTAAATATTTCACATCCCAAGAGCGGTATAGTACACTGTCGTCGATATCTCATCTCGGTGTAGTGTTGCTGTAGATTTGGATACTACCTCAGAATTTCAAACCAACTTTTATATTTTCCAACAGCTAACAGGCTTGGGGCGGTTACCTTTGCCCGGCAACCGTCAGATTGACTTTTCTCTGTGCAAGCTTGTAAGATGGAGTGTGCATCAAGTTCAAGGAAAATCCCTCCCGTGGCGATACTGTTATTTTTGTGACCAAAGGTATTAAGGTAAGGTACTATCGCTTCCTGTCAAGAAAAAGTGATTCAGTATATCTTATGGCTCTTAAGCACCTGGGGTCTCTCAACTTATCTGACCTGGTCTTGCTTGAAAAGTCGAACGCAGTGCCGCAGTACCTAAGCCCAGAAATTGAGTCTATGGGCTCATCTTGTATTCCAGTCGGGTGATAACGCCTCCCAGGTGTATCCACCTCGAACTCGCCGCACTTTTTATGTTTTACGTGCTTGTATCATATACATCGCGTGTCTGGGCAGGTTTTCAATTATAGTTTTTATCCTCGATATGTATGCCTGGGGGGTTCATTTAGCGTTTACAGTTTTAAAGAGAGAAATATTGATACCCACTTTCGTAGCTGTTTCATATTTTTTCCGTCTGGGATTATAAACCCTGTGCAATTTCGTCTCGGCTGTCGCTGTTCTCCGTGACATCGTATATACAATTGGCACTTTCGATATGAAATTAACATTGTTGCGAATGCGCTCCACGTTTTGAATATTTTGAAGTTGTTCAAGTATTTTTTTTCTCTTCAATCTTATTTGATAGTCGATCGTTGTGCTTTGCAGTGAGGAACAGTGTCACATCAAATAGAAATGACGTCTACTGAGAATTCCCATCGCATTGACCAACACTGGAATCAGGAGTGCAGGGCGTGATTGATTTTGAAGATTTCCCGCAAAATTTACCACCTCCAAACTGGACTGCTTGATACATCAGGTTTGATAATAGCCACGCCACTACTGCTGAGCTGCTACATAATTCTTAATTGGTGATCAGTATTCCAAAACAGTGCTTTGTACAGATTGCTGCATTTTAATTTGTGTGGGATAGGAAGTTGTACGCATATACATTTTATAACTTTAAGACTGGCACCTGCCCATGGAGAGCAGTGAGCCTCGCCCTATTCGCACATGAATTAACTGATTGGTGCGTGGTGGGCTCAGTAAGTGATATTATCACACCCATAAACACTGCAGTCTAAAATTTGTGCCATATCGTGCACATAACCTTTATCCAGAACACATTTACCCCCTTTTTTAAAGCTGAACGATGATAATCAAATCAGCAGAATGCTTGAAGTTGCGAGTAATGTTCTATGTAGATGCAGTGCAGGTGGTAATTTAGCCACTAAAGCAATCATAAGAAGAGCACAAACATCTAGTGGGCAACTTATAGTCCTGATTTACAAGTTGAGCTGGTACAAATTAAACGCACTTGACAAGCATATGCACACTTTTTCCATTTATTGATATATTGCCATTTCGCATACTATTTTACTCTAAATTCCCAGACCCCCAAACCAGCAGCAGTTGGCGATATGCTTGAAGCCTTTATGAGTTGACGGAGTAGTTATATCTGTGTAATTCGTAACATTCACGGTAGTAGAACATGAGCCAAGCCAGCAGTAATCTCATGAAGGTATACACGTTGGCACCACATCAATCAGACCAGTCGAATGCAGGCAAAAGAATAAATTTTGTGAAGGACCGATTAAATTCTACACATCAAATAGTCTAGAAATGTAAGTGTAACGATGAAGAAGTAGATGTGAATTATGTGTGACATAAGGTTCAAATATACGGAGACACGGTGTACCGCGAATATAGAGCGCGATGGCGTAGCTCACATAGACACAGTGCGGAATTCAAGTTCGAAAATTTAGATGCATGTTACTCCTTGGTTCACAATCGTATTGCTGAGGGTACTTCACTCACGATATCAGCTTAAAATAGCCTGGCTTCGACCGAAATGAGGTCTGCAAAAGATACCTAGGCTGTTCTTAGACTGTATAATATATGAGACTCGCATATGCGTTTACGAAGTTGCTAAAACATTTAGAAACGCAATAAACCTAATTCTAGGAGAAGGATTTTTATAGAATTTTTATAGACTGAACTCAACCTCGTTTCCTGGATACTGTAAATGGGTGAATGTTATTGACATATTCGACAGCACGCATCCAATGCCAGAATGATAATAAACCTATTACACAAAAATCAATTCTGCATGGAGATTTGAGTCCTCACCAACCTTAGAATGTAATGAATGTGGGTAAACACTACAAAGTATACACATGGCGAGTTTGACAAATTATGTGTACAATCAACACATACCCGCATTTCAAACACGTCATAAAACAGGTCTGGCCCTCATCAGCCGACCGCAACTGCGCTGTGTGGAAGGCCATCTCACCGTGACCGCACTCAGGACATTCTTCTTTGATCTGTCGCAGAATAATAGAAGGGAAAGAAGACGCAGACGACGAGAGTTAATCCTTAGACTCTCAGCATGATCTGAGGAATATAAGTGCACTCCCCTCATCCAATACAATAAATTTTAGAATAACCCAGCCACCAGAAGTTGCTATCCCCCCTTCCAAAATGGCTTTTAAAGTATAACAAGTATTATAGTAACACGCGAGAATCAGAATCTTTCTTTCCAAGCTATTGCACTGTGTAATTGAAATCGACGGTAATTATCCATTTTCAATCTAAAAGTTCTTCTGCGGGTCTAAATTGTTCAACGCTGGAAAAGTACACCGACCACTTTTCATGTGTGATCATTGCGTGCGTTAAGCCTCATACGACAATACAGTGACACGAAGCGGGGAATCCTACTCTACTCTCGATCGGAATCAAAACAAGGTACAAACCAAAGACAGAACAAGCTTAAACGAGTCCTATATATGCACCTGGATCGTTTCGATCTTAATGTTGATACATAATCCAGCACAAATAAATTTACCGCAGCTGACTAAGATTTCAGACCCATGCATTTTCCATTATTTTTCCATGTATAATAAAACCAACTATACATTATATGTATATGTATATGTATATGTATGTGTATATGTATATCTACATCCACATCTATATCTATATCTGTACCTATATATATATATATATAGAACCCACCGTTGCAGACTTCTGTTTCTTGCCAACATTGCTGGCCTGTCCTTTCCTCGCTACCGCAGCAGCAAACGATGTATCGCGCGTTCGTTGTTTGTTCTCTTTGCCCACCACATCTAGAGCGCAAACCACAAAAAGATTCACGCCTTAGTTACCTTTATACAAGCAGATGTATACTGTGATACTAATTATATGCCAACTTTGACTCATCGGTGTAATACTATCAATTTTAACGGGAGTTTTGTTCGAGGCCACTCCCTGGAGTCACAAGAGTGAGTAGCTACAAAATGGCAATAATCTAGTACAGATTTCTCGGATACCGCCAAATTCTCGATGAGAGCACATATGACGCACTGAAAAAGAGCCATGTTTGGCCAAACTACACACATTGACTACCCAAGCATGTATGTACTAGAATGTCAGTTCAATACTAAACTACACATATTGACTACCCAAGCATGTATGTACTGCTACGCTACAAGTGGTATACATGTGCGTATATCTACGTAATTGTCGGTTAAATATAGCTAACGTTATCGAAAAACGACATGCGTACAAGCAAGTGACACAAGAATGACTATAAAAAAACCCCCGTACAGTCAACTCCACAGCATAGAAAACTAATCTTTATGTCCTGGCTTGTCTCATCAACAAGACTTCAACAAAGTACAAACAGACTACAGCTCGCGACTATACGAACTAAAAAAAATACATTTCATGACCATTGGTGTTACAGAGGACAGAAAGCGAATAATCATCATGCTGAACTATCAGAGAAATTGTGAGCATAAACATGTATACGTTCAGAATCACAACATTGATCCCGCGCAGCAACCTTCACCAGAATATACTTGGATTGTAGGTACACAAGGTAAACCCAAGAGTATATATATATATACATATATATATATATATATATATATATATATATAACAACACACACACACACACATATATATATATATATATATATATATATATATATATATATATATATATATATATATATATATACTACTACT